GTCCTCTTCCAAAGAGGCACAAAGTCCCGAGAAGGTCCTCTTCCAAAGAGGCACACAATCCCGAGAAGGTCCTCTTCTAAAGAGACACAGACCCGAGAAAGTCCTCTTCCAAGAGGCACCAAATCCCCGAGAAAAGTCCTCTTTCGAGAGACACTAAGTTAAATCCTTACCCACGAGGTAACGAGGCCCTCCAAAAGAGAAAGTCCTCTTGTCGAGGTTCCAAGAAAAGTTTTATCCCATGAGGCAACCCACCGAGTCATATAATTTTGAATCTATCTCGTTCCCCGAGACAGACTCAAAACTAGGGGGGCATGTGATGGATTAGGGATTTTTCCTAATCCAATATTATTTGAACAGTGCAAGAAAGCCCAATTTTATCTGGCCCAAGATATAAATCAGATAAATTATTCAAGACAGAACTAGAGGTATATGGACAGAAGAATATATTTGAGGTGATATAAAAATATTCCGTGGAGCCCATATATAAAACATGTGCACATGGAGGTGACATGGCCACCTCATGGCATTGTTGGGGATGCATGCATGTACTTCCCTTTAAATACAATGCTACGCAGGACGGAAGGGGGGATGCCAAGGTTAGATTCCTACAAGTTCCTACTACTATATTCTTCATTTTTCTTCTTCTTTTAGCTTGGAGCTCCATTAATGATTCCAAGTTCCTACAATGATATATATGAAAACTCCCCTGAGATTAATAAAAGTTCCTCCCCCTTTGGCATGGCACCGCCAAAAAAGGCCCGTGGTTTTCTCCCGATTCTGGTTTCCACGTATAAATATTTTCTCTCCGCTTTATTTATTTACTTAATTTCCGAATTTCGCTATTCGGTGCGGTGCCGACCCGGTACCGATTTCATCGGGTCGACGCCCCAAAAAAGCGGTTTCCATCAGGTACGTACCAATCAATTGAGGGGGTATAGTATAAAATGAGAAGGGAAATAATGATCCGTCAAGACTAAGAGACTGTGTTGAAATTTCTTCCGAGAAAGATGGATTTATATTTCGTTCGTTTGAAAGGTTTGACGGAGTGGCGGAGAAGAAAAGAGAATAAAATCCAAAGCCACCATTTTTACATTTTTGTTGCATGAATTCCAAATTCCATCTTTTAGATAAGCATAACGGTTTGGGAATATAATTAATTAGGCATGTGCACTAATCAAAAGTAATCTCTTCCCTCTCGATTCCAAATAAATATAATTTCTAGTTATTATTTAAATGGTCAAATTTATTCATCATTATTTAATTTATCTCTCTTGAATTGTTATTATGTTAGGCTCCGTTTGGCATTAGCGTTAGAGATTAGCGTTAGCGTTTTGAAAATGCTATCTGACGGTAGCTTTTAGCGTTAGCGTTAGTGTTTTCAAAATTAATCTACACCATTAAAATTTTATCCAAAACGCTAAAGTTAATCGAAAATGCTGTTCTCAAACAAGACCTTAATTATTACAAAGTTAAAGATTATACTTATGTGCTCTTTTCTTTTATAGAGGTTTTAAAATAGTTTTTTTGGAATGATTTAAAATAGTTTTTGAACATATACGAAGTAAATATTGCTCTCTTCGTCACAAATTAATTTTCCATTAAATATTTCTTTAACATGCACTTTTTTGGGAATAACATTTTTGATTAGCGCTGAAGTTTTGGATAAAACTTTAAAAGTATTAGCTTTTTGAAAATGTCAATACTAATAATCTCTAACGCTGATTGGTCGTCAAAGCAGCCAATTCAATGAGTCGTTGAAACCAATCACACAAACAACTATCACCCTACAACTAATTAACTTCCAAACATGACCAAAATTATGTGTTCCAACTTCATTGTCAAGGGATTTATAAGTTTAAAGCATCTTATGTGTAATGTTTGAATAAAAAGAGTATATGGGGAAGAGTCACACATACTCCAAATTGAAGAAATATCCCAGTAATTGCGGAAGTCGTGGATCAAACTTACAACCTACGACGACATTACCATCATTTCACATTCTCTATAGATTTATTATAGTGTTTAACTTTAATATTTTAAAAATGTTATTTTATTAAATTGTTTAATTTTAACATTTCAAGTTACGTACATTATTAAATATGATCTTAAATTTGATATCCATGTCTCTTGATATTATATTCCTTCCAAATGAAGTATTTTGAACTGCCGGTAATCCCTTGCCACCGTCGCCAACCACCCATCATTGTCCCTCACCCATGTTTGTCGATCTCTAATAATCATAATTAAATTTATCTCGTTTAATATTTTTAAAATTTTATTACATTGTGCCAATATGCAATACAATTTGAGAATAATTGATGATAATTTAAGTTCGTTTGTTTTAACCTAAAAAGTCAAACTGAATGAATACACTGTAGCACAAGGAGTACGTATTTAATTAGCTTCCACACTTTCCCTTATTTGGGAACATTCTTTTTAGTTAGCTTCCACACTTTCCCTTATTTGGTAATTTAATCACCTAACCAATAAGTGATATCCTAAAAAGACATCAGAATCTATATCTTTTGTGCTCTCTAATGGGCCTTTAAATATACTTCACTTGCGCTAAGTAAACGGGCCTTTAAATATACTTTACATAACTGTTTAATTAAATCTTTTCATTGATATAAAGAGAGATTAGTCAATTGGTATTCAAATTTTATTTAGTTTGTTCATTGATATAAAATGAGAGATTAGTCAATTGGTATTCAAAGGATGCCATTCTTCATTTGTTATTGTAGTCTAACATTACCCCCTCTATTTCAAAGTATTTATCCAATTTTAACTTTGTCTATTCAATTAATATCAACCTTTGACCTATAAATAATATATATATACATACATACATACATACATATATATATATATGTGTGTGTGTGTGTGTGTATATATATATATGTGTGTGTGTGTGCATATATATATATATATATATATATATATATATATATATATATATATATATATATATATATATATATATATATATAATATTATGAAAATAATTTTAAAAAATAAATCTTATATACTTAATTTTTATACGATATCTAATATTATAATTAATTATATATATTTAACTAATAGTTAAAATTTATCAATTTTAAGTGCCAAAGATCAAAGTTGAACTAATATAGTAATACTTCATTTTGTTATTGTAGTCAATAGGTATTCAAACAATGGTATAGAGAGGATTTGTCTTCCCATTTTCCCTATAAATCCCCCCCTTCCATGCATGCACCCTTTACACCAGCACATTGAACAAAGTTTCATAAAAATATATCATCATATCAATTCCATCTCTACATCCTCATCACCATTATATAATAAAAATGGCTTCTAAAATCCTCTCCAACTGCTTGCCCCTCTTCATACTCATATTGGGAGTCCTTCGATCCTCTCGGGTTTCTTCTCGACCTCTCGCTCCCTACCATAACGACTCGTCCATGCGAGCTCGGTACGAGCAATGGAAAGCTCTCCATGGAAAGGTATATTACACACTCCATGCAAACGATGAAGAACACGCCGACCAGCAACGCTTTGAGATATTCAAAGACAACGTGAACCGAATCGAGGCATTCAATGCCAAACCTGACAAGAGATACAAGCTCGGAGTCAACGGGTTTGCAGACATAACCAACGACGAGTTTCGCGCGATGCGCGCAAGCGGTTATCGCAAGAGGGTGGAAGAGCAGACAGTGTTGTTGTCTTCTGATGGCTCGTCGACCTTTGACGAGTCGAAGAGATTTAGGTACGAAAATGTGACGATGGTTGACGTGATTGTAGACTGGAGGGACAAAGGCGTCGTAACACCCGTCAAGGACCAAGGCCAGTGTGGTATGTAATTGATCCCTCTACTCTGCACAAAAAAATAGTAGAGTTATTGAGCGTTATTTTATTTTTTGTCCAAGTTCGAACTATTGATTTTTATTTGTGTTCAAAACCGTTTTAAACATGGTCGAACCTATTATTCTAGGGACATGCATGTAGCGTGGAATTTGTTCATTGTGGAAAATTATTAGGAACATTATTTCTATGTTCATATTTTGGGGTCTAACAAACTAACATGTTATATTCATTATGTACTTGAGTGTGTAATATCATTATTCATTTAGGAGGGTCTTAGCACACCAAATATTTATATTCCTAATAATTCCGAGATTTTTAATTTTTATTAAAACTTAAAAGCACCTAAATTAATATAGAGTTCTATGACTCCCAAATGAGAGGCGAGGTGTTTGATCTCCGGTGCCGGTAGTAATTCTACGAGCTTGAATAAGTTGAAAGTATATGAACATATTTACATTTTAATACAGTTATTAGTATTCAAAAAAAATACAGAGTTCTCCGTAACAAAATTTTTATATGAAGAATCTATGTTAAATATATGAATTATTTAATACTCCGGTATATTTAATACTCCGTATTATATATTATAATCATCAATTTATCATACTAAGTAGTAAAATCTTGAAAGCAATTAATTATGACTCATCCTTTTTAACTTGATAATTTGAAAGATAAAGATTCAACTTCGGTACGCATTTGACGGTTCCATATATGTTGACAAAACTTTGTGTTCGATATGGATATATAATTTGACTTGAGACGGCTGACAAATTAAAATTGGAAAAGACATTGGAATTTGGAAACATTTTTACTACATACTGCATGTCTCATATAATATTATTAGAAGAATTAGTTAACGAATACTCTCTCCGGTCCTAAAAATCTTTTCTGTTTTGATTTTTTTGATCAAACAGTGACCCTTGTGACCATGAATTAAACGCCTTTAAACGTAATCTAAATAATTTAATGATATAAAAATTTGATATGTCAAAATTATATCCTAAGATGAATCAATTATATTGAACTTGTTATACTACGGAGTATAATTATATACTCCCTCCGTCCCAATTTAAATTGCCCGTTTTGACTTTTGGGCATATTTAAGAAAAATAAAAAATAGAGTTGATTTTTTAAAATTGACATTACTTTTTAAGAGGGGCAATGATTAATGAAAAGATAAGGTGAAAAAGAATGACTTATTTTAAGGGTAGTTTAGGTATTTTATTTTTAATAGTTTACGAAAACAACTAACAGGCAATTTATTTTGGGACGGAGAAAAAAGGGAAACAGGCAATTTAAAATGGGACGGAGGGAGTATATTTTTCTCGCAATTTATGATCAAACAGTGTCATTGTTTAACTAAAAAAATTAAAACAGAAAAGATTTTAAGGATTTGAGTGAGTATATGAAATGAGTAATATTTTAAAAATATGTTTCAAAATATATTTTATTTATTAATACTTCAAACGAACTTATAAAGTAAAGATTATAATCGATGATAAAAAATAAATTCAAATGAACTTATTTTTAAAGCTCGAAGTTTTTTAATTTTTTTTACTTCGTATTTTCTGGTTTTGGATATTTATTTGATACTCCGGTACATTGTAATATGAAATTACTTTTATATGTTGTAGTTTTATTTTGAGCTATTTCTTTAATCCATTGCACAATGCATGGTGCAGGTTGAAAAAATTAAATTAGAAATAAAACATATACTCCGTAGAAAATATAAAAATAAGACTGAGTTCAATGTTTTTGTCATATATAGTACTGCAAACTTTTACTTTGATAAAAACATGAAATTCAAATTTTGATACTTTCTATATGTTTTAGTCTTATTTTGAGCAATTTTTTTAATCCATTACACAATGCATGGTGCAGGTTGTTGCTGGGCATTTTCAGCGGTGGCCGCCGTGGAGAGTCTGAACAAGCTAAAAACCGGCGAGCTGTTATCCCTATCGGAGCAGCAGCTTCTCGACTGCGACAACGGAGAGATAGGCTGCAAGGGCGGCCACATGGGGACCGCATTCACCTTCATCGCGCAACACCGCGGCCTCGCCGCCGAGACGAGTTACCCCTACACCGCCCAACGAGGCACGTGCGACGCCGCGCCCGCTCCCGCCGTCGCGATCTCGGGGCACGAGAAAGTCCCGGAAAATGACGAAAATGCCCTTCTGCAGGCGGTGGCCAACCAACCGGTGTCCCTGGCCATCAACGGGGCCACATTCAGTTTCCAGTTCTACGAGGAAGGAGTCCTCGACGACGAGGAATGTGGGCCCGCCCTGAACCACGCCGTGGCGGCGGTCGGGTACGGGACGACTAGTGAGGGGGAGGATTATTGGCTGGTGAAGAACTCGTGGGGAAGTAATTGGGGGGAGGATGGGTATATGAGGATTACAAGGGGTTATACTAAAAAAGAAGGGCTTTGTGGACTTGCTATGGATGCTTCTTATCCAACTCTCTAAGCATGCCAAACTTGTTGTGTGTTGAAGGCTAGGATCATGTTTTATTTAATTTCAGTTTCTTCCAAATTCTTCTAATTGTTTTTAGCGATGGACTTAAAAAAATTATTTTGATTTATTTTCATAAATTATTATTATTATCTCAATAGACTGTAAAATTAATTTAATGTCACAATTTATTAAAAGTTGTATCCTGGATATAATTAAATTTTAGTTGCCATTATAAATTTATATAATTTATTAAAATATTAAATTTTTAAATGTGCATGTAAAATAATAAATGTTCATATACAAAAATTTAATATTCAAAGAAATAATTAAGTAAAATTAATGTTGTTTATTTTTTAAATGTGCATATGTCAGATGTATAATATAAAATCAAAAGAGTACGAAAAATTGTTTTCATATTCTTGAGACATATGAGAAATGAAATACTGAAAAATTGGTGCCTTTTATTATGTCCCTTTTTCTTTTTTTCCTCATTATTTTAGAACAGTAAAATTTTTCAAATAAAAAAAGAATACAAAATTTTTGGGAATAAAAATAACTCAACCCTTGTAAGTTGTAAGCAGTCCCTAAGCACTAATAACCTCTAACCAGAGTCTGAATAAATTGGCGTCATATTTTGTACCATTTTTCGCTTCCCCTCCTTATTTTCAATAGTGAAATTTTTAAATCTAAAAAAAAGGAGACTTTTAGAAATAATTAAATAAATACAACTTCAACTCTTGTAAGCATAGACCCTAACTCATTCTTCTCATGTTTTTTCTCTTCTCCGATTCGGTGTTCTAGGTTCCTCAGCCAAAAAAAACTAAATTGTTTTAAATTATTACCCAGAACACTGTTAATTTGATTTTAGAATTTTTTTTTTACAAATTATATATACTTTGTAATCATTACTCCGTTAGTAATTACAAATTTATAGATAATTACATAAAAAATATAATGTTAAATCAGTAATGTCTAAAGCAAAATCAACATTGTTATTCTTGGGCCATTTTTATAATTATTTTCATATATAAAATAAGATGTAAGATTATTTTTGTTTGGTCGTTGAGACATCGTTATTTAATTTAAGTTCAGTTTTTCTTTCAACTAAGATTGGTATAAAGTAAAAAAAATTATTGACATTGTTTGGTCGTTGAGACATGGATTAGTCATTAGTGACATTATATTCAACTGAAAAAACAAAATTAAATTATGGATATTAATTTTAAAAAGTAAAGAAAGCCTGTGACTCACAAAAAAAGTTACAAATATGATTTGGGATAAAATTTAATGGCATAGAAGAAAATAAAAAGCGATTAAAATTTTAAAAAGTAGAGTGTACATTTTTTTAATAAAATATGAAATTTATAAAATAATTATATTAACATTTTTATTTTTTCAACTTTTTAAAAGACTTTCCAACTGTTTCCATTTTCTTTCAATTCCTTTTAGTAGAGGTCACTTAAGATTCAATTAATAAATTTGTTCAAAGTGTTTTTGGATGTTTGGAGCAAAAAACTAGCCGGCTCAATTTTTTCAAAGTCTAATTATAAGGAAACCAAAAAGACACCTTAAAAACAAGATAAAGAATCTACCTTTACAATATTAGGAAATACTACCGGATTTTATTCTATTTGCTGTGATGAAAGTTCAATTATTTATCTTATCTCACTGATCATTTAGTTGGGTTTGAGCGGGCTTTTGAGGATGGAGCTCATCTTTTTTTGGTTAAGGCTCCGTTTGGTACATGGAATTCAAACTATAGAATTGGAATTGAGGACCTCAATTCCAATTCTGGTGTTTGGTAGCACAAAAATTATGTGAATTTGGAATTAATAGTGCAAAAAATGAATTGGAATTGTCAGAGTTTAATTCTATAGAAATTGGCAGAATTCAATTCCAATTTTGTCAATTCCGTATACCAAGCGGACCCTAAGAGAGTCTCGTGTTGATTTTTTTGAATGATTTTGACTATATTATAAAGTAGTATCTGTTTATGCATGCTATTTTCAACTTAATTAATGACGCACAAAGAGTCAATGTTTTCGTGTCCGCTAGAGTTTGAATTTGGGAAGAGAATAAAAAAAAGTTAGTCCGTATTTGCTGGTAGATGGTTTATCTAGCACGTAAAATATTACTCCTCTCAATTTTTCACTTTACTTATAATATAGTACAAACTTTCTTTTGTTAATTATCATCATATTTTTTATTTTTAGATACACTATTTTCGTAAACTCGACTAAAAAAGTTGATGAATGTAGTAATTCAGTTTTTTTTAATTTTTCTGGATGAAAAGTAAAGAATAAATTAGACTTGCATTATTTAGTTCCCATTTGTCAAATATAGGAACTACTGTAACTCAATTAAACATAGAATTGAAGGCTGAAAATGAGTATGCATCTTATGTGAATTAATGTGAAATAATTGTAATTGCAAAATAAAACGTAAAAACCATGCATGTAAATACGTGTTTTGTAATTGCAAAATAAAACCAAAAACTTGAAAACCGATGACATGATTTTGCTTAAATATATTTAAAAATAAATAATTTTTTAATGGTAAAAAATGTTTTAAAAACCAAAAACATAAAAAAAGATCAATGACAGAGACCTAAAAAACCAAGGGTATTAACGTAACACATCGAACAACTAATTGTAATGTTAAAAACCTTTTTAAAAATAGTTTTTTTTTTTGAATTTTTAAGGGTAAGTTATATTTATTAATGAATTTGATAGAAAAATCAATTTATGATATAATTATATATTAGAGAATTGATTTAATATAAATAAAGTTAATGAAATAAAAGATGGTGCAGTGCTGACCTGACAAAGTTTGAGAAAGTCTAAAATAATACTACCTTCCGTCCCAGTCCCAAAAAGATTTACACATTTTGACTAAAGTTAAAATTAAGGGAGGAATAATTTTGTGTTGACTTTCCAAAAATACCCTTGATGTGATGGGTAAAAGTAGGATGTGATGTGTAGATTATTAGGAAAAAGGCATGATGTGATATGTAGATTTTGAAAAAGTAAGGGATAAAAGTGATTTTTTTAATAGAAATGTGTAAGAGATTGTGGGACGCAAGTTTTATAAAAGGCGTAAATCTTTTTGGTAAGATGATAGAGTATGAAAGAGTCTCGAACTTCCTATTTTCGCATTTTCACACCCTTGACATAAAAGCAAAAAGTGTACTCCAATGGCATGGAGAAAGTAGGTGCCTACATATATAAGTTGCCCATCCAAGCATATATGGCACCCTTCACCAATTCAATATAATTACCACATCTTCAAACAAAACTTAATATATTCATATATGGCATCCAAAATAATCCTTTGCCACCACATGGTGATCTTGATAGTGGCATTGGGAATCCTCCATCAAACCTCTCCGGTTTCCTCCCGAGCCATTGACAACTCGTCCATCCGAGTCATCTTCGAGAGCTGGAAAATTCTTCATGGAAAGAGTTACACACTCGCAAGCGAGGAACACGAAAGGCGTTTTGAGATATTCAAAGACAACGTAAACCGGATCGAGGCTTTCAATGCCGGACCGGGTCGGAGTTACAAGCTCGGAGTTAACAAGTTTGCGGACTTAACTAACGAGGAGTTTAGTGCCATTTATGCAAGTGGTTACAAGAGCCCAAAAGGGTTTCCGGCCTCAACCTCGGAGGAACGGTTCAAGTACGAAAGTGAGGCGGATAGTCCTCCAACAAGCTTAGATTGGAGAGACTATGGTGCCGTAACAGAGGTCAAGTACCAAGGAGAGTGCGGTATGTATTTACTTTTTGTCTACTTCTTCTAGTATTTCGAAATAAGGATACACGCCGGTGGGTGTTGCGCAGTTGGAAAATTAAAGTAAGGGGTACCAAGAAGGTAATTTAAGACTCGGGTTCGATTCCTGGCAACTACGCTAGGAGGCAACTATGCTAAGCATAGAGCCTCTACAAGTACTGGGTGCAGGCTCCACTCTTTGCCACCAATCTGCAATTAAAGTCGAATTTATCTCCTCTCAGTAACCATTCGGCCGGGTCTCAGGAGGCCCTCGGGGATGGGGCTCATCCTTTTTTTGAAATAAGGATACACTTTTTATATATAAATAATTTTACCATTCATATATCATTTTAAATATATATTTATTTTAAAATTCTTTCTCAATTTTTACTATATTTATTATTTAATTTAAAATAACTTCTGTCAAACAATACTCGGTATTATATATATGTCTCTTATCTATCTTTGGTTCCAATTTATGATGTCAAACCAAAGTTATCACCTGTGCCCCAATTATTTTTATCTTGAATATACCGAGAAATGCACGATATTATTGGCTCGTTTGGGAATAGCGTTAGAGATTAGCGTTAGCGTTTTGGATAAAATTTTAACGGTGCAGATTACTTTGAAAACGCTAACGCTAAAAGCTGCCCGTAGATAGCTTTTTCAAAACGCTAACGCTAATCGCTAACGCTATTCCCAAACAGGCCCTATATTAATATTCTGAAATTCAATAAATGAGATCATTAGTCCCAAGTATTCTACATTTTTAAACTGTAACGACTACATCATTGCTAACTCAGCTAAAGGAGTGTTTTTCTATATGCATAGTAGGCAATTAATAAGTATGAGTTGATAATTGATAATAAAAAAACTGGAATTTATTATAACAAGACCCCCCTGATTTAACATTGCCAAATTGAAATGGGGCAAAATTGAAGAATTTAAATACATTTATATTTTAATATGATAAATTTTTAAAGGTGTTTCAGACAAAAAAAAACAGAATTTAAAAGTTAATATAAAATTTTAGTCTAAATAAATTTGTTGGATAAGTTTTGTTGAAAGAAATTCATCGATATAGATAGATTTAAAGCTGATATGCATTTTAAAAGTATTAAAGAAACAAAAAATTGCTGTCAGAGGGTCAGGTACCCCCTGTTTTGTGTTAAGATCAGAACGGCCGAGTACCTCCAAACCCTGAATTATAAAAAAACATACCAAGAGGAGATTTTCCATCCATTCTCCGTCTGTCCAAGTTTCTCCATCAAGTTCATCATCATCATCATCATCAATTCATCATCATCAGTCCACCACCACCATCTCCATCTTTTTCATTCTTCCTCCTCCTCTTCTTCTCCTCTTGAATGTTGGAGTATTAACATAAGATTGGTGTAAACTGACATGAAATAAAAAAGAGAAATTTACCTAAATAGGACTAAAATATAATGACTTTTCCAATATAGGACCACATGTTTTTATTTCCCAATGTAGAACTTTTGGTCATTATCAAGTAGTCATTATTCAAGTAAATGTCCATTATTACTGAGCATTATTTCTCTCACTAGGTCATTATTAAGTCCTATTTAGAGAATAAAAAAGTTTAAATCCTACATTAGAAAAGTCATTATGTTTTAGTCCTATTTAGTGCAAATTTTACAATAAAAAATGCCTCTAGGCAAGTGTAAAATAACATAAAAATATCAAAATTAGAGTATCATAGTTTTAATTCGCTAGATAGGAGTGTGATTTGGGTGTGGTGTTAATGTGGCAGCATAATGACATTATAATGCAATGGCAATGTTATGGTGGAATGTGATTTTCAATAATGCTACAAAACATTATTTAGGATTGGTAGCTAATCTATGTTCGAGCCCCAGTGGAAATGTTAATCATCTACTTCCTCCGTCTCAAAAAGATTTACACGTTTCAAAAAAATTGCGTCCCACAATATCTTACATATTTCTAGTAAAAAACCACTTTTACCCCTTACTTTTTCAAATCCTACCTATCACATCATACTTTTTTCCTAATAATCTAGACATCACATCATACTTTTACCCATCACATCAAGGGTATTTTTGGAAAGTCAACACAAAATTATCCTTCCCTTAGTTTCTACTTTAGTCAAAACGTACCCATCTTTATGGGACGGAGGGAGTATATTTCAGTAGATTGAAAATATATGTATGAAGAGATATTACACTATAAATTTATAATAAAGTCAATAATATCATGCAGGTTGTTGTTGGGCATTTTCGGCGGTGGCAGCCGTGGAGGGGCTCAACAAACTAAAAACCGGCGAGCTGGTAACGCTCTCGGAGCAAGAGCTTCTCGACTGCGGTGTCCCGCCGGAAGCCAATCCCTGCAACGGCAACACCTTGCCGGACGCATTCAAGGCCATAACCCATTTTGGCCTCACCCGAGAGACGGAGTACTATGAGTACACCGCCTCCAAGGGGACCTGCAACATATACACCCCCCCTGCGGTCACCATCGCGGGGTACGGCTTCGTCAGCCCTAGTGGGAACGAAGCCGTGCTTTTAGACGCGGTGGCGAACCGGCCCGTGTCTGTGGCCGTCAACGCGGCCACATACGGCTTCCAGCACTACCAGAATGGGATCTTTGACGAGGAGTGTGACCCGGGGAAGCTGAACCACGCCATGACGGTGGTCGGGTACGGGACCACCGCGGACGGGAAGGGTTATTGGGTGCTTAAGAACTCGTGGGGCCGTGGCTGGGGCGAGGATGGGTACATGAGGATTCTAAGGGGTTATAGTGATCCACGAGGGCTCTGTGGACTTGCTTCCGAGGCTTGGTATCCAATCTAGCTAGTCATTTGTGTAATTCTTTAATGGTGCTTTATTTGTAAATTAGAAAATATGAAACTAAATGTTCTCATTATATATGCTCGGTGTAACATTTTTGTTATGATACATTGTTGACATTATTTCCTTCCTTGCACTTTACGTTTATGGTATCAATTACTACGTAGAACTATGGCATGAATATATTTTTACGTTTTATGTTATTTTCCTCTTTATATTATACTCCCTCCTCCGTTCTCAAAAAAAATTTCTATTTTGACCAAGTGTAAAAATAAAGAAGTGTTAAATTGTACTACTTCCGTCCCGTGAAACATGGGACATTTGCTTTTTAGGAGGGATTTAAGGGAGTGTATTTTGGTATTGAATTTCCAAAAATGTCCTTTGATGTGATGGGTAAAAGTATGATTTGATGGATAGATTATTAGTAAAAAGGTATGATGTGATAGTTAGGGTATGAAAAAGTAAGGGGTAAAAGTGACTTTTTAATAGAAATGAGAAGTGTTTTGTGGGACGGATAAANGGAGGGATTTAAGGGAGTGTATTTTGGTATTGAATTTCCAAAAATGTCCTTTGATGTGATGGGTAAAAGTATGATTTGATGGATAGATTATTAGTAAAAAGGTATGATGTGATAGTTAGGGTATGAAAAAGTAAGGGGTAAAAGTGACTTTTTAATAGAAATGAGAAGTGTTTTGTGGGACGGATAAAAAAAGAAAGGGGAAATGTTTCACGGGACGGAGGTAGTAGTTGAATTCCAATTTTATCCTTGATGTGATGAGTTAAAGTAAGATGTGATGAATAGATTATTAAAGAAAAAGTATGATGTGATAAGTAGGGTATGAAAATTTAAAGATAAAAGTGGTTTTTCGAGAGAAAGTAAAAGTTTTTATTGGAAGTAGAAAAAATGAAAGAGGAAGTCTTTTTGAGAATGGATGGAGTATGTATAAACTAGGATCACACTCGTGCGTTGCATGGATCATATTTACGTTACTAAATTAAGATTCTTAGACAATTTTTTTTGAATGGTGCAACAAATTCTTAGACTCTCATTAGTAGTACTTTGACTTTCATCAGTAAATAAACACTATCTTTTTTCAAATTTTCTTTGAAAATGCATATATTCGAATCTCTGATCCGTGAATGGTCCCAATGGCATTGGATAAGGCAAATCTAGGCTAGGGTTTAACGTTCCTAGTTTTGACTTCGTCCTAAAAACGGTTTCTTTCTTTATTTTTGTGTTCTACAAAGTCTTTTTTCTATTAAAAAATTATTTTTACCTTCACTAATTCTTAGCGTGTCTATCACATCATACTTTTTCATTAATAATCTACTCTCACATTCTACTTTTACTTATCACATCAAAAATATTTTTGAAAAGTGAACATAAAAATATTATTCTCTTAATTTTTTTAAAAGTCAAAATGAAAGGCAGCTTTTTAGAATAGAGGAAATATGTATCAAATTGATTTCATTAACCACAAACAAGATTTCAATACACGATACTTAGAAATCCTAATCTTGGCCCTTTTTCATAAAATAATTCAAACCCTTTTATATAAAGTCGCTAGCATGCTCCTGAATCTCCTCAATTAAGTCATGTTTTTTTGTTAGAAAAATTAATTTAGTTTCCAACATTATTTTATAAATTTTAATTTCCTCCAACTTCAAGTTTTTATCTAAAGTAAATCTTTTCATTCTCTTCCAATTCGTTCTAAATTTCTCCAATTTTTATTTTTTTCAAACTCTTTCAATTTCTTGCAACAATGAACTGCAAAATACGGAGTATAATTTAGTTATATTTTTCGTGTTATTCTCATTACAAGTATCATTGGTAAATATACACCATATCATCATCATGACATTATCAATGCAATAAACTATGGAGTAATAAACACATTGAGGTAGTGTCACATCTCAAATAAAAAAACATTTCCTTCATCCCTAAAACAAGCAAAATTTGTACTAAATAGTACTAAAACAATTGTCCTTTTCCTATATACAGAGTAGTATTTAAACTTCTTTATTCTTTAAATAGTACTTGAAAAATGTCTAGCGAAGAAAATAATATCCAAGTATAGTGGATATTTAGTTTTAACAATGCCAAGTGGCAACAGACATTTACTTGAACAATGACTAGTACACATTGAACAGTGGTATTACATTGAAAAATAAGAACATACTCCCTCCGTTTGCAAAAAGACTTCCCATTTTGATTTGGGGCAAAAATAAGGAGGTGTTAAATTATATTTGATTTCCAATTTTGTCCCTGATGTGATGGGTATAAGTAAGATGTGATGGATAGATTATTTGAGAAAAAGTATGAAGTGATAGGTAGGGTATGAAAAAGTAAGGGTAAAAGTGGTTTTTTAATAGGAAGTGGAAGTGTTTTGTTGGAAGTGGAAAAAATAAAAGAGGAAGTGTTTTTGAGAACGAAGGGAGTATAATACAACATTTGGAAAGTCACTATATTTTAGTACTGTTTAAGAAAAATTTCCCTCTAAAACAAACATCAGTTACTATTATATAGTTAACATAAATATTACGTATCCATAAATAAAATAAGAAATCTACTTGGATAAGAGAAAAAAGTATGAAAATGCCAAAATAGTGCCAAAATAGGAGTATTATGTCTTTTAATACCAAAAATATGAATATAATGGTAATGTAGTGTAAGAGTACGCATTGACAGTGTGATGGAAAAGTAATGACAGTGTAATATGTGAGTGTGATCAGTCAACTATCGGTGATTCGCAGTGGCACTCAGGCACGTGGCCGCCAGCGACAGATGGCAATGTGGTGGTGGTAGTGTGACAGTTACAATGTGACAATGTATTGAGTCTGGTAGTATAACAATGACAGTAGTGTGGACTCATATTTTGGTCTTAAAAGACTTATGACTGCTATTTTGGTATTTGCATAGTTTTTTACTCATATCTTAGTTTCTTATGTATTTTAGTATAAACATTTATAAGTGACTTATTGCTCATAAACAATTTTTAAGTTGTAAGCTATTTATAAGTTAAAAAAACTTTTGCGTAGATAAATTGAGTTATATGATATATAAGTCATCTTGAGATATTCATAACATGTGAGGCATATTTTTGTAAAAAATTCGGTTAAAGCAGAAAAATGAGAAAACAAACTTAAAATTAAGTAGGTATGACCTACTTATTTTTTTAGCTTATGAGAAACTTATAAGTACAGAGAAATACTTCCTCAGCTGAAATATAAGTTAAAAAAACGTCTTATAATTAGTTTTAACCAGCTTATAAATAAAAAAAGAGTAAATTTCATAATTGGTCCTTTATAACAGGGGGGTTTCCATATTTAGTCCTCTATTATCAAATATTACCCCCGTAGTCCTTTTTTTAAGGGTACCTTTCCACAAATGGTCCTTTTTTGATCTTCTGCCGTGTTGGTGTTAATTTAAAGACTAAAAGTATAATTTGACGTCAACATTATGTATAGTGACGTGTTCTGATATTGGTTAAGCGGATAACACAAAAATAATGACTATGATTGTGGGCTAGGATTCTGACGAAAGATTACATTTGTAGACTATAGTTGTCGAAAAAAGCGATTATAATTCACAAACGACGCAAACGGAACAGCCTTTGGAATTGTGTATGACAAAAAAGATATATTATCATTGTGAAATTACACTTTTAGCCCTCAAATTAACACCAACATTATAGAAGATCAAAAAAAGGACTATTTGTGGAAAGGTATTCATAAAAGAAGGACCACTTGGGTAATATTTGATAATAGAGGATTAAATAGGGAAACCCCCTTGTTATAAAGGACCAATTATAGAATTTACTCTATAAAAAAATACCCACACATTAAGATATTATTACATATAAATTCACCCTTTTTTAAAAATTATTTAAAAGTTGTTTTGAATGCGTTTTAGCCTGTTAGGCCAACCCAAAGCCCGCGAGTACCAATGAGGACTTGGAGTTGGGCTTTAACGGCAAGTTAGGCTTGTTATGAGGGTCGATCCACCGGATTTTTTCCACAATCTCAAATCTATCCATATACTTTTACGGAGTAAGTTGGAGTATCCTAAATGTATCCCAAAATTTCTACTCCATTTGTAAGGTATATACCATTTTCCATCATCTCCGATGGAGTCAAAATTTCACCAATTTTGGCTTTGGGGTGTGATGGAATAAATAAAAATGGATCTCTAAACTATCTGCGCTTCTTTAATTAATGAAATAGCAGTTAGTCATGTTAGAATAAAGGCCCAACGCTAGAGGGGGGGGGGTGAATAGCGTTTAAAACAAAGTCGCAGGAAATCAAAAACGAGAGCGTAAAGGTAAAGAGCGTAAGGAAGGAGCACACCGAATTTTATCCTGGTTCACCACAACGTGTGGCTAATCCAGCCCCCCGAGAGACTCTCTCGAGCTACACTAACTCCGTTAAGCTTAAGGGTGCTTAACAAAGCGATACAACTTGAGAACTCGAGTCACACGAGCCTCAACACCTTTGCTTGGAGATACCGCACTCCAAGACTTCTCACGAAGGAGCAAAGAACTTCCTTCGAGTTTACAACAAGGGAACAACCTCCCTTAAAGTGTATAAAAACACTTAAACACTCAAGAATAAAACTCTCACAAAGAGTAGATATGAGTGAACTAGTAAACGCTCAAGAACACGACAATTTCTTCAAGAATAGGCTCTCAAATAGCTAAGAAAAATAGGAATGATTATGCAATGAAAGAGTATTGAAATGTTGAAGAATTGTGTATGAAATGAGAGGATTTGGGTGCCATTTTATAGCCCAAAATGGGATAAAACCGTTGCTAAATTTTCCAACAGGATGAAGACAAATTTTTCAGAGTTGCAGGGTGATAATCAATTGTCTAGACATGATAATCGATTATTAAAAGATTCCCTGTCCAAAAGTTTAAAAAACTATCCGTTGGAGGACAACGGTAACCCAGATAATCGATTGTCAACAAGTGATAATCGATTATTGGTCCTCTCAGAAGATTCTGGGTTTTGGCTGCAAAGAC